TCCTCCGCCGCCTCCCCCCTCCCCTCCCCCTCCTCTTCTTCCCCCCCCCCTCCTCCTTCTGCCTCCTACTCCTCCTCCTCCTCCTCCTCTCCTCCTCCTCCTCCTCCTCCTCCTCCTCCTCCTCCTCCTCCTCCTCCTCCCCCTCCTGCCTATGGCAGTGGTGGTGGAACAAATGGGCCCAGCATGCGGGCGTGACGCACGTCCACGTCGGCGGCCTCTCTCGGCCTGGACTCCTCGGCCGCGAGGCCCCCCCGTGGCCGCGGGGCGCGCCCTACGGGAGCGCTTCCCGGCGTCCAGGCTGCGAGGGCACGGAGGTGGACGTGGTCGTAAGGCGGACATGTCCCTCTGCAGGAGGATCATTCAAAAATAGTCAAAAATTGTGGAAACGATTTCTCTGTAATTTTTGACTCTTTCTGGGAATCTGTGAGCTATTTTTCATTTTTCCTCCAAAGTCCGCCTGTAGGAGGACATGCCCCACCTAAACGTGGTCGTCGATCGTGAGGAGCCGCTCGGCGGGCGTCGAGGAAGCCGCCGCCAGGGAGGCGAAGGCCGCGGCGGCCGCGGCGGCCGCGGCGGCGGCGCTGGAGCGCGAGGACAGCGCCCGGAGGGAGCAGCTGCGGCGGAAGGTGGAGCAGCTGCGCGAGAAGCAGAGGGCCGCCGAGGCCGCCGCCGCGGCCGAGGACCCAGCAGAGCGCACCTGCACACCGCCTCCTCCTCCTCCCATCCCCTCCCCCTCCCCTCCTCCTCCTCCTCCACCTCCCTCCTCACTCTCCTCCTCCTCCTCCTCCCTCCCCTCCCTCCCTCCCTCCCCCTCCCTCCCTCCTCCCATCCCCCCTCCCTCCCCCTCCTCCTCCCTCCCTCCCTCCTCCTCCTCCTCCACACACCTGAGCGACGCAACACCAAGGGGGGTCGTCTGCGCCGACGTGCGCGCGCAAGCTGCCCGCGTGAGGTCGCGCGCGAGCGCCCTCGCCTCCAGTGTGGCGTGCCGTGCCTGCGGCCCGCGTGAGCCGCGGCGCAAGGTCGCCGCGCCATGTCGCGCGCGGCCCGCTTCTGATCGTCGCTCGCCTGGCCAGGGCCATATGGGCCCCAGGCTGGTGCGCGGACCCAGGACTGCGACGAGATGTTTTTCTGTGTGCGTCCAGGCGTCTCTCCTTCGATTTCGGCCGCGTGCCCCCGCCCTTCCAGTCCCTGGGACCACCGCAACGGGGCGAGCAACGGGCCCCGGGGAAGAGGTCAGGACCTCTGGGGCCGCGGATTGGAAAGACCATCTCGGCAGATGTCTGGGGACGTTTCTGGCCCCGGCCCGCAGCGGCGCACCACGCCACGAGGCCGGGGCCCCAGGGTGGCCCAGAGGCCAGGCCCTGTGCAGAGGTGTGCAGCGGTGCACGCTCACACAGGAGGCCGCGGCCGCCGCCGCCGCGCAGGGCGAGGAGGCGGAGGAGGAGGAGGCGGAGGAGGAGGAGGCGGAGGAGGAGGAGGAGGGCAGCTGCGCCGAGCGGGAGCCGGAGGCCGCCGCGGAGCCTTCGGGCACGGACCCGGCGAGCGGGCTGCTCGCGGCCCGCCTGGCGGCCGCGCCCCCCCCAGCCCGGCCCGGCTCGGCGGCGCCCGCGGGGCACCGCGCGCAGCGGCTGCGGCCGTGCAGCCCGCGGCGGCCGCTGGCGGCCGGCGGCGGCGGCGAGGCGCTTCCGCCGGAGCCCGCCTCGGCCACGGGCGCCGGGCCGCGCGCGTCAGCGGGGCCCCCCAGGGCTGCAGAGCCGCCGGCGGGCGGCGGGAGGTCCGCCCGGGCGCCCTCGAAGAAGGACACCTGGGACCCTCTGTGGGAGATGGAGGCGGCGCACCTGGAGGCCGTGCTGTCGGCCTCGTCCTCGGGCGTGGAGGAGGCCGAGTGCGGGAGGCCGCCGCGGCAGACGCTGCAGAAGCGGATCATGACGCGGAAGCTGGCCAGGGGGCTCCTGAGCGCCAAGCGCTCCGGAGATCTGCACGCCATCGCCGAGGAGTGGGAGAAGGCGCACGCGGAGATGGCAACCAAGGCCTCGGACCTCAGTGCGCTCAGCGCCAAAGTCCGGCAGAGCCTCCTGAACACCCCGCGGGATGGGGACTTGGAACGCATCGCGGAGGAGATGGCGGGCGTGGCTGAGCGCAAGGCTGCGGAGGTGAAGGAGCTGAAGGAGCGCGTGTTCCGCGCGATGATCGACGTGAGGCGACGGCGCAAGCTGGAGAGCCCGGCGGCAGACGCGGACGACGCGCAGAAGGAGCTGGAGCTGAAGGCCCCGCAGCTGAAGAGCCTGATGCGGCGCGCGTTCCGGGGCATGCGGGAGTCGGGGCGCGCGGGCAGCGAGTCGCCTCGCAGCCCGCAGCTGACGAGCCTGATGAGGCGCGCGTTCCGGGGCATGCGGGAGTCGGGGCGCGCGGGCAGCGAGTCGCCCCGCTGCGAGGAGTCCTCCCGCAGCGAGTCGCCCCGCAGCAGAGGGCCGGCGTCGGAGGTCGGCCTGCACGCGAGAGCGTCCCTCCGCCACGGTGACCTGTGGTGTGGGCGCCCTGGCCACCCCGCTACGCTGCGCTGCTCCCGATCGGCCCAAAGTTACCAGCCTCGAACTTATCCCTATCCCTAAGATTCACACGCCAAAAGGAGATGGCAATCTTAGGGATGCGCCCTGAAAAACCAAGGGAATCCCTAAGATTGGCATCGTGATGAGGAGATGCCCAGCATAGGGATAGGGATATGTTCCAGGCTGGTATAAAAAAAAGGCCGTGCCAATCTAGAACTCGGGGGGAAGATGTGGGCCCGTGCCTCTGGCACCCGGGCAGTTGTGCGATCGTCTGACGTCGACTGCTGCCGAGACAGGCGTGGGTTGGAGGCAGAAGAGGGGCGGGGCGGAAGGGAGGGGGGAGGCTTGATGGGGGAGGAAACTGGAGTGAACTCGCAGATCTCGCTCGGTCTGCCCACCCCGCGGCCCCCGTAAAGCCGCGCACCAGCGGTCACTCTTGCCTAGGATTACTTTCGCGTCTGTCGAAGAGGAAAAAGATATTCATAAACATCAACTTTTGGCGCTCCGCGCGGAACGCCAACAGTTCATGCTTCTGCAGTTTTGTTGTTGTGGTTATGATTGTTGTTGTTGTTGTTGTTGTTGTTGTTGTTGCTCTTGTTGTTGTGGTAGTAGTAGTAGTAGTAGTAGTAGTAGTAGTAGTCGTAGTAGTAGTAGTAGTAGTAGTAGTAGTAGTAGTAGTAGTAGTAATAGTAGTAGTAGTAATAGTAGTAGTAGTAGTCGTAGTAGTAGTAGTAGTAGTAGTAGTAGTAGTAGTAGCTGTTGTTGTTGTTGTTGTTGTAGTATTACTAGTAGTTGTTGTTGTAGTTGTGGTTGTGTTTGTGGTTGTGGTTGTTGCTGCTGCTGTTGTTGTTGTTGCTGTTGTTGTTGCTGTTGTTGCTGTTGTTGTTGTTGTTGTTGTTGCTGTTGTTGTTGTCATTGTTGTTGCTGCTGTTGCGGTTGTTGTTGTTGTTGTCGTTGTCGTTGTCGTTGTGGTTGTTGTTGTAGTGGTTGTTGTTGTTGTTGGTATTGTTGCTGTTGCTGCTGTTGTTGTTGAACATTATTAATTCTAAAGAATAATTATTGTTGGGACCCCTGGTGCACGGCCCCCCTGCGCCGCCTAGGCCGCAGCTACATTTTCATCATTTTCGTGAGGAAGCCTCAGGTAATACGATGTCATCAAGATCCGGTTGTTTTGTTGTAATCCGTTTTCCCTTGCAAAAAACACTATAAAATGACATTTCTTGTTCTAATATAATCAAATTTCAAGAATCCCTTGCAAAAAATAAGGTAAAGTGGACATTCGCGCGCGCAAGACGAAATCCTTCCAAAAGCTTAGTGTTCGGAGCGATTTTAACATAAAAACATCAAAAAACCAATGGTTTTTCAACAAAAAATGTCAAAATCTCATCCCGCGCGCTCTTGCGGATTCGTAGGAAACCCAACACTTTTTAAACATTTCTGTCAAACGGGCTTTTGCGAGCAACTTTTTCGAACTTCTGCGACAACGGTTGCGCACCTGCCAGGGCCATCATCCCTGTCAAATAATACCATGCGGGACACATTCGTTTTTTCTTCGCGCGCGCACGCCGTCGTCGTCGGCCGCGGGGCCCTGAATAGTAGCCACGGTCGTCCGCATGCCACGAAGTGAAGTGTCCGAACGTCATAGGGCGGGAAGCTGGGTGTGGGTGGTGGCGAAGAGTCGTTTGGAAATTTGGTAGAGCTTGAACCGGCCCCCCCACAAAGTGGGGGTATTGCCCGCCTCTTATGAAAACCCTGGCACTGGTGAGAACGGAGTGTCCCCAGTCTTAAATGATTGTTGTTGTTGTTGTTGTTGCTGTTGTTGTTGTTGTTGTTGTTGTTGCTGCTGCTGCTGCTGTTGTTGTTGTTGTTGTTGTTGTTGTGGTTGTTGTTGTTGTTGTTGTTGTTGTTATTGTTGTTGTTGCTGCTGTTGTTGTTGTTGCTATTGTTGTTGTTCTGGTTGTTACTGCTGTTGTTGTTGTTGTTGCTGTTGTGGTTGTCATTGTGGTTGTTGTTGTTGTTGCTGCTGCTGCTGTTGTTGCTGTTGCTTCTTTCTTCTTCTTCTCCTCCCTGCTCTTCTTCTGCTTCTGCGCAGAGCCGCGCACCAGAGGTCACCCCCGAGGCGGGACCTTATCCACGACCGCCGCCCGGAGGATCCATCTCCGGGGACCTCGGCGGGCGGTGGGTGCGGATCTCGTCGGGCCCCCGGGGGCCAGGAGGTACGTCCACATCCGCCGCACGCCGGGCGCCCGGGCG